GGATTTTAATATGCGCTCTGGGAAAGTAGCCGCAATATTGAATATTCTCTCCTGTTCAAATACTCTCACTGCCTAGAATGGGAGGACCTTTCCACTCTCAAATCTCTACTCTCGGGGTTAACAATACACCATTATCTGTATAATCAGCGATCTATCACTAAACACATCTACCTCGTGTTTCCCAACCCATGGTACTGTATTGCATTTAGTTGTCTTTTTCAGTAACCCTCTTTTAACTTTATGTATTTTTAGTTAAGTGTAGTCTAAAACTGACTTCTTCAATTCTAATTCTAATGACTTTTAGTATCGGTCCCCTATTTTCCACTAAGACCTCCACTACCGCTACAACTGTCTAGCACGTAAGTCCTGTGCTTGCCCTGATTAATACATTTCGTTCTCTCAATTCACAGATGATCAAACTTGCCCAAGATCACTCAGCTAATCAGGGATACACATGCACACTGGGCTCCAGACATGAGGACTATTTGCTAGTATTCTTTCCCTTTGTACTTCTGGATACTATGCTAGGAACTCTTTCCATTTCTAACCCTTTTCATCTGCTAAATTCCCACTGGTCCTTTAAGACTCAGCTCAAGGGCCACCTCCTCCATGAATCTTCTTGGGTTTTCTCCGCTCTCTTTCCCACCTGGGTGAGGTGCATCTGGCGTAGGCTTCATCCCTCACTGTTTCCACTGACTCCTCCATCTCCCTTATCAGGCTCTAGGCATCTCCAAAGCAGGGAGGAACTGGGTCTTGTCTTGGGATGCCCAGTACTAGCCCAGTACATGGCACGAGACATAGACACAGAAATGCTTGCTCAATACTGAGTAGTGACCCCACTTCTCTGATTTGGTCTGGTGAATGATGTCATCTGACTTACAAGGGGGGACTTCTCATCACGAACAATGCCATTTTCTCAGATTCCCACGAACTCATTCTCTCTTACTAGGTCTATACTGGGACAAGTAGTTACTATTATTAGATGAGGAACTATCACTTCATGCACATTATGCTTATCTTGACAATACTGCCAAGCAGGCATCATCCTCATTTTTATGGATGAAGTTCAGATTCAGATATGCTAAGTAACTAACTGGTCTACAGTTACATAGAAGGAAGGCTTCATTTTAAAAGCATATATAAAATGCCCTATTATGTATAGTCGTCCCTGTCCTGGAGAGATTCATTAATACTTGAAATTACTTACACATACACATACACACACAGAGCACACGAATTTGGATGCCTGAGTAGTGAAAGCATGGTCAACTTGGACTTACAGAGGTTCGAGGCAGGTCTATCACATGCATTATCCAGGGGATCTCATGCTTGTAGTCTTAACTTTCTTATCACATAAAAATGATACCTACTTACCTCAAAGGGGGTTGAATATGCAGCTTTGTTAAGGAGGAGGGCATAGGCCCATCTTAGGGCACTGTGGTAGATAAAGAGTTTGGTGCAGTGTCTCTCAGAGTATGGAAGGACCCTGGACATTAGAGCCACCTGAGGTTAATAGGAGACGGGAGAAACCAGGCTGGGAATCCATATTTAACAAGACCCCAAATGAGTCCATTAGACAGAAAAGTTTGATATATACCAGGTTAGAACAATGCTTCTCAGACTTTAATGTACACATGAATCACTTGGAAATCTTATTAAAATGCATACTGAAATTCAGTAGGTCTGGTGGGATGAGATTCTGTATGTCTAACAAGATCCAAGGGGAAGCTAGTACTGGTGGTCTATGATTCACATTTGAGTGACAGGGGTTTGAAAGGTCTAACCCCACTGCCACAAATTAGTTTTGCTTTGTTCCTGCACCACAGATCACATTCCCCAATTTTAGGGAGTATTCCAGAAAGGCCCAGACTCTCAGTATTGGTACAAAATCACTCGAACTACTCAAAACCAAAGTGGATCACCTTCCCTATCACAGAGAAAAAGCAGTAGCATCCTTTTCAGAAATAGACAGCATATATGTTTAGCACGCGAAAGAATAATTTATTGCTACTACTTTTCCCATTCGCTGTGCAAGCATTTTCTATACATATAAAAATTAACAACAGAAACCAAATTTAAAATGAAATCAGAAGCTATAAAAGATGTCGCTCAATGCACACTACTGACTCCAACAGACATACCTTGCATCTCTGACAGGAGATGGTACCACTTTATTACCTCAAAGGAGGAAGTAAAGATTCTTCCTTGCCCAGTAATAGCTCAGCTAATGGGAAACTGCCATAACAGCCAATGAAGACACTATACTTCGAACTTTATTTCCTCTAATGGATTTTTTGTTCACAACAGCTCCTCCCAAATTCATAAAAGAGCGATCCTCTTCTTTGTTTCTCTGGACTTGTGTGTGGTTCACCACTGGACCATTTCCTGAATTGCAATTCTTTGCTGCTCCTGAATAAACCTATTTTCGTAGAGAAATATCTGGCTATTTGTTAAAGGTAAACATATATTATCTTTAACTCCCACCACAAGCCCACAAGATGGATATTCTCGCTCTATAGATACGGAAATGAGGCAGAGAGCTTAAGTAACTAGCTCAAGGTCACATGATTAGTTAGTATTTGCAGCTGGGGTTCCGATCCTGCTCTATTGGAATCCAAAGCCTGTGTGGCCTCTGCACATTCTCCATGATGCATGACATGATTGTGGTATAAAATGAGACAGCTTGGAGAAAAAAAATGGGGGAAAAAGTTTCTCCTGTATCAGTCTTTGAGTTCAAGGCTCTGCTGAGGCAACTTCTGGATGGGGGTGAGGATGAGAATAAGGCTAATTATTTAGTGACCTATGTTGCCTAATGGGCAAAAACATGCAGACAGCAATCTTTTCCGTGGTTCCTATAAATCTAATAATGCAGATGGAGTAAAAAGGACACTAGTGACCTACACAATGACCCTAAATGTTGCCACCTACCCTCAGGCTTCTAGTTATGATGCTTAATCCATAGAGTAAAAATTCTTCTTGACTCATGTGGCCTATTCTTTACCTTCTCCTGTATGAGGTTTCTGTAACCTTAAAAGTTTATACCAACACAAGTTTTCTCTGCCATGTCATTTCACAGTTGCCACACCTCCCTGCCTCTGATAAAACTGCCTATACCTGAAAAAAAAAAATGTACTGTTTAGTCAAATGCCTTGAAAATGCAGCAATATTTAAGGTTTCCTTTTGGGTGACAAAATTTTTTGTATTTTTCATAGGTTTGACATGGAAAGAAATACACAGTAATAAAGATGCTCGAAGACAAGCAGTCAGCTTGATACTCAAATGTACCAAATGAGAGAAAGAGACAGCTATAAAATAAACTGCCCAGGCATTTACTATCCAGTGTGTTTAACATTTAATGACCTATGGGTAAAGTATCCGCAGTCATTTTTTTTTTTTTTTTAATCCCAGGCCTCCGCACTATTATAATTTGTACTCAATAGTTTAACTGTTGTTTTCTAAAGATCTTCTATCTTTAATATAAATAGTACAACTATTTACTTATGTAATTCAAAAAAGATACATTTAGAAAGCCACATCTCCTGCAATTAAATGTATACGTGGTCATCAACCAAACCATGACATTTGAACTCTTAAGGATAATAAACTGATTTTGCTCCTATGGCATTCTCTACACATGATGTTTCTAAAAAAAAACTGGTTTGAAAACCCACTTAAAAGTATTTTTAGAATGTGTGTGTGTGTTTTAAAAAGAAAGTAAGAAACTGAGTCTGGAGCATTAATTTCAAATTAATAAGCATTTCCTATTTCACTTCCCAACCCCCAGGAACAGTTCAGATCTCAGAAAATCTAAAGTAAAAGTCGACAGAAACCAATTTAAGATTTTTCTGGACGGACTTTACTGAAATGTTTGGACACGAACATGTTTGCAATGAGTCACAATTTATGGGACATTAATGACCAATGCTTATGGGCCTCTCTTCCTACATTCAATATCATTCTCAAATCACCAGGTGATATATTTTCCTGGCCCTGATCATTTTTATAAAGTTACCATATCTCAGTTACTAAGACTGCCACTCAGCACCCTACCCTGTGCTGATTTTTTAAATGCTATCTAAACAGAAGAGAACTTGATTCCCTTTCTAAACTATACCTCTCCCTAACCAGGCAGCTAATGCCTTTCACCAGCGAAGGGGCGCAGTACTTTTAAGATCCCTGAAGAGGAGCTGAGGGGTCTAGAGGGCACTCCAAATAAAAAGACGGGGAAGGTTAAAGGAGAGTCGCGCTGGGCAAAGGCAGACATAATAACAGGATATGTTCGTTTCTAGAGGAAGCAGGAGCTGCAACAGCCCCGGGTCAGGAAAGGCGGAGTCAGCAGCACCTAAAGGAAACCGGCGCTCCAGGGTACGCAGGGACCTGGCCTGCTTAGGGATTCTTGCTCCTGTCGGGTCCGACGTTGGTGAACACCTCGCCCGCGGAGAACCAAGCTCAGGCCTCCTGGCACTAGTGGTTATAGAGAGGTACCCATCTGCTCCCTGCCACCTCCGCCAAAGATGGGCAACGGGGGGTGAAAAATACAAAGCAAACACCAGGCGCCGCGGCAGGTGGACTTGTCAACAAGTCAGCCCTGGACGGAGGGACCTCGAGGCCCTGGGGCCAGAGCAGCTGGGAGGCGAAGCACGGAGTGGGTAGGGTGAGCTGGCGTGGGTGGGGTGCTGCGGGCTCTGGGGCTGGAGATGCGGTGGGAGCCGGGAACGCTTCCCTCCCGCTCCCCCGGGGCTGACGTACGCTCTCCTGGCGCGCGCATCCTCCAGACCTTCCCAGGCCGAGGGAGTAGCGGGGGAGGGGAAGGGGCTGTAGCGGTTCCTGCACGGGGATCAGCGGCAGGAGGAGGCGGCCAGCCTGTGCCCCGCCGCCCGCGGAGGGCAGAACTGGCAGAGCGAGGCCGGCGCCCCCGACCGCCCCGGCTGCCGGGCGTCTCCCGCTGCAGCCTGCAGCCCGCCCAGCGCGCCCCAGCCCGGGCCCCGGAGGGCAGGTACCTCGGAGCCCCGGCCCCCAGGAGCCTCCCGGCCGCGGTCGGAGCGTCCCTCCAGCTCACTCATCCGACGTCAGCGTCAGCAGAAGGCGAGGGAAGGGGGC